TGTTCAACCTCTGCACTGCATACAAATAAATAAATAAAATACAAGATCCATTAACAACTATTAAAAAAAAAGTTGTATAAATACTCTGGTGGGACTATATCATGCATTTAATAATAATTTTACTAGTGCCAAGTACTATGCACAGTTATATAGTAGCAAACAAGACAAAATACTACTGTTAATTATTAAGTTTCAAGATACTGACAATTACACTACAGCAAATCTTCCTACAATAATATGTAAACAACTTGTTCACTAAAATAAATTTTCTTAAGTTGATTTTGTGAAAAATTCACGTTTCACTTTATTTACTGAGTGTCTATTTAAAATCCACATTAAACTATGTATTATAAAAAATACATGGAAAAACTTATTCCTAAATATACCAAGAATTAATCCAGTGAAAAGTGTTCCCCTTTCTCACTTTAAAAGTGGAACATATGCAATTCATACCCTAGAGGGCTTATGGCAAGACATTATTAGGGGATAAAAACCAAATTGATAAAAGAATTTTTAAAAATGAATAGGTTGAAATTAATATAGATTTAAGCAGCTAAATACCACCTACTGTACAAATGAAGACAAACTATTACAGACAAATTTTGAAAAGGAGGATCCAAAAATTTGGAATGATTTAAAAGAAACTAAAAATAATGAAATTAGGGCTGAGGTTGTGGCTCAGTGGTTGAGCCCTTGCTTCGCATGCATGAGGCAATGGGTTTGGTCCTCAGCAACACACACACACACAAATAAATAAATAAACAATGAAATTTTAAAAAGAAAGATGAAAGTTAAACTACATTTAAGCAAAATGTCCTAAAGCAATATGAAATGTCCTTTCAAAGAAATCACAGTAGATCTTATGTTATACTATGGATCCCAAAGCCCTATTCCAGTGTGTAAATTTTGGGATAGAGGAAATAGTACTGGGATCAAGGAACCCAGGGGTGCTTACCACTCAGCTATACTTGCAGTCCCTTTTTTCAAGAGCAGCCCTGTCCCCCAGCCTAACTAAGTAGCCCAGCTGGCCTTAAACTTGCAATCCTCCTGCTGCATCCTCTAAAGTAGTTAGGATGAGTAACTATTTGCAGGGTGCTATCACACCAGTTTGGCCAACACAACCAGACCCAGTCACAAAACACAAACAAGAACAAAACACAAAATTGCAACAACAACAAAAGCATATTTCCCTAGACCCAGGCTCAGAGATTTTGAATGTTTAAAATCTGTGGTAAGACTCAGAGATCTATATCTATCTTTATACATATATACATATACATACATGTATATATATATATATATATATATATATACACACACACAAATAAAATGAGTATTCTAAGTTACTCTATTACAAATAGCCAGGACACTTTGAGGACTCCTGCAGTGTTTTAACTCAACTAAGATCTTCAATTTATAAACAAGACAAGCTAAAAAGATAAGGTTAAACACGTTACAAGTTTCCTGCCAGGCTGGTAAATTGTCTTCCTCCAACCCTGGGCCTTTGTGGTATCTCAGGCCTGCCTCTCCCACTACCTGGCTCCTACCCCTTACCAACTTTAAAAGCCAACTTTGTGATTAGGTATTTGGTGCCTACCTGGAATAACAGGGTTGTACTGTTAAGTTTTTTGAGTACAGTAGTCCCTTGGCATCCACAAGGGACTGGTTGGGATCCCTAACGATATCAAAATCTGCAGATGCAGTTCCTTACATAAAATGTAGTATTGCATATTACCTACAAACATCCTCACATTCTTTAAATCATCCTTAGATTACATGTAAGGCTCAGTACAATGTAAATGCTAAGTAAGTAGTGTTGTTCTATATTGGTTAGCGAATAATTATAAGAAGAGTCTATAGGCATTTAGCGCACGTATAATTTTATAAATTTAAAAATATATATTTTGCTCCCCAGTTGGTTGAATTCATGGATGCAGAACCCAGTGTGTATCTTCTATAACTGAAATAAAGAACTCCCTGGGGAGAAAGAGAGCTTTTACTTTTGTATCCCCTTCAGAGTGACATAGAATATTGTATCTCTTTTTACTGCCTTTTATTTGTAGGTAGTACCTTGCTTTTTCTTCAAGTAAATCCTTAGTACACTGCAAGGTACATAATGAGTACTAAACAAAGGGTGGATTATACTTAGCCACATAAAGCAGTATTTTTCTGTGGATCATGTCTCACAATCAAATGTGAAACCAACAAATGTGATCCAATTTAGAATACTGTATCTCTTTTTACTGCCTTTTATTTGTAGGTAGTACCTTGATAACATCTTCAACATTTTGATAAGAGAACATTTACTTTCTCACCTAATTAACATTTCACCATCCAGTCAGTGTCCCTGTTCTCCACTTCTCAAAGCCAATTCTAGGTTTATTTACTTATTCATTTCCCCTTTTCTTAACTCAAAAGAGGTGGTAAGCCCTAATCGAACGTGCATTTTTCATAGTGTCAAGTGTTCACCAATCTGTTCCTTCTTCAGATGAGTCATCTGAATGTTATGATGCACTTCAGATGGGCTCTTTGGAGCACCTGTCTTTCGCCTCAAGTCCATCTGAAATTCTAGATGTCCCAAATAGGGCCTTGAAGTTTTCACAACCTGCAACATCTGCACAGGGTTTAGGATTAATAGGTGTCGTTCCCCCCACCCCAAGATCACCTTCTTTAGCCTAGAGCCAGGCTCTTTAATTCCATCATAACATTACTTTCTGGCAATCCTTGGTGCTCTCTGCATTTTTATTATGTTCCAAGTCAGTTCTATTTCTTTCTTCTCCTAAGTTGAGCCCTTTCTAGCTTTCATATATCTTGCACTTCCTAATCAGCAAGCAAAACATCAATGTTTAACCAGGCCTAATTGATTGTGACCTGTCACATCTCTAATATAGCCTTATTTTTGTATTGTTACCAACAATATTCTCATAAGTTTGAATTTACACTCCACTTCCCTCAATAACTTCTCTAAATCCATCCAATGGAATGAGTCTCCCACCCTCCAAACCTCATTAATACTCTGTTCACATCTCTATTAGCACCTAGCAGCCTGCAATATTATAGTTATTTATGAATCGGTATCCTGTGATTGACTCTTAACTCCTATGTGCATACCTCATACTGCCAACCAAACACAACAGTGTGCACTTTTCATAGTAAGGATTACTGAATTATACTGAAAGGCAAAAATTAATTACGTGGATAAAAAAAATAGGTTAAGAGATATTTCTAACTCTGCAAGACCTCCATATTCTCAATGTGCTCAACTTGTAAAGCATTTTAAAAATATATGAAACTACGAAAGATATAAAGGGGAAAACCACCAGAAAAATGGCAATAAAGAATGTACAACTAAAACATGAAGGCATGACAAAAGGGATGTGATGCCCTCTGCATTTCCACACGTGGTCCAGTAAATTGGTGCCTGAAACCCTCAACCTTCACCATTCTGCCCCGTCATCCCCTTTTACCTATTTCAAAAACCTCCCACGTCATGGAGTGCACAACAGTCCACTTCGCTTAACTTGCTTGAGCTCTTTCTCTTTGTGGCCATATACCCCTGAAGAATATGGGGTAGCCGACTCTCACTTGCCTTGTTTCTGTTCTGGCCTCCCTTGGCCCAACTCACCAGACCAAGAGTGGGCAACCATTTCCCTTTAAAGTCCCAACTAAAATGGAAGCGGGTCTAGACCTGGACACCCTTAATCCTCTGTAAGCCCGAGTTTTTAGGTCACCGAATTTCTGGCTACGGTCTCAGTGTGACTTGAGAGCGATCTTCCAGGTGTACTCTTTGCACAACTTCCCAACACCGCCTTTAAGGTCCCATTACCCTCCACGTGCAGCCTACCCTTAAGGTAGGCCTTAAGGTAAGGTATGTTATTCTAGTGTCAAGGTTCCTGAAGGTGGTTTGACCTCTGGGTACTCTTGTTTATACTAAACTCAGAGCATCTAACTTCCTTCCTGGAAACTGGGCTTCTCTACCCGCCCTTATACCTCCGGAGTTTCCCCTACTCCCCAAAGTAACATGCCCACCTATCTAGCACCTATTCCTCCACTTTGGCAGATCTGCGCCTCGGCTGTCGCCTAACCACACTCTATTCGCTCCCCGGCTGGAGCTCGGCCCTCCGCTCGCTCGAAGGTCGCGGCGCCGGCACGCTGTACCTGTCCCTCACCCCTACTCACTTTGGGCTTCTCGGGCAGCTTCTTCCGGTTCTTCTTCTTTTGCTCCTCGCTTCGGAGATTCTTTAGCAAGGTTAGGTCATCAGGGGCTGAAGCTGGCGCGGCTGCCGCCTCCTCCCGCTTGCGGGGCGGGCTCCTCCGCTTCTTGCGGGCGCCGGCGCAAGCTGCGGCCCAGCCGTAGCCCAGTAGGAAGAGCAGCAGCAGCCCGAGTGCGCCGGTGCCTACCAGGATCACCCAGCCCGGGTACCGCTTCGGCTCCAGCCCCAGGTCTAGGCCCAGCTCCGTGCGCAGGAAGCCTAGGCCGACCGACAGCATTTCCCGCAGCCGGGCTGAGCCCTGCTCGGCCTGCTGGGCCAGCTCGTCCTGCCAGCTTCGTGCAGCCATCTTCCCTCCCGTCAGGGGGACTTGAAGGATGACGCTGGGCGCAGAGACGCCGTGGAAGAGTCAAAGGAAGCGACGATTGCCGGGCCACCTCAGGCCAAGCGCATCGCGGCCGTTCCTCGCGCCGGAGCCGGCGATCGGCCGCTGCCGCCGCGGGGAGGACAGAGGGGCTCCCAGGTTCCCCCTATCAGTCTCACTCCGCCGCCGCCGCCAGGAGGAGAGCCGGGGCGAAGGGAGGGAGTGTCTCCAGTGGCGACCGCTAAGCGGCGTCTCGGCGCTAGCGCCAGGCCCCGCTGTCCTCCCTCGGCGGAACAATGGCGGCTCCGGCCGCGATCCACGCCGCGCGCGGGGATGGCCGCGGGTCACGTGGGAGCGGTGGGCGGGGCGTGGGTGTCACGTGGGCGCGGGAGGGGCTGGGCGGGAAGAGAACCTTGGCGCGAAGGCGTGGCGGTGGCGGGTACCGGCCCGGCGGAGAAGTGGAACCTAGGGACTGGTGACCCGGGATTGGGGGCTGGAAGATTAACTGGGGGAAGCCCCGCAGGTGGGCCGGTAACACAGAGATAGACCGGATGCTCTGAATGAGTGCAATGGAAGGGTGCTCGTGGAGGGCGGGCTCGGGGATAAGGGTGAAGAGCGAGGAACCCGAGCACGGGGTCTGGGTCAAATTCTCTCTGGTTAGAGGTGTAGGGCTTTTCATTCTTATTTTTCTTTTCTTTCTTTCTTTTCTTTTTCCTTTTTTTTTTGGAGTGATGTTGAAATGAAAGCGCCTTTTTCTTCCTTAGGTCACCAGTCAGCTAGATGCTTCCAGAGTGCATTCAGTGGAGTCTGAAGCCAGGCACCCACCCCTCCTCCTAGGGTGAAACTGGGTTTAATTCACCAAGTGGATCTTTATCTTCGGGCCAACTGTTGAGTGTCTGCCCTTTGCCAGCCGTTCTAGGGCGTGTTTGCGTTGTTGAGCTCATTCAGTCGTGCTGTTTTTAGTATCCAGAATTCAAAATTCTGAAAGCCTGTGGGCGGTACTATTATTTTGCTGCTATAAGAAATAATGAGAGGAAGCTCATTAGATTGTGTTTACATGTAGAGGTAGCTTCCTCGTTGCGTTTTATTTTAAGGTTTTTTACAACGCGTTAAAAGGAGTTTTAAAAATTCTATTTTTGTTTGCTCTGTCGACCAACTGTGAGATGTAGCATTAGAAGGGAATGAATTGCCTTTTCAGATTTTAATTACAAAGATATTTGGGGACTGCCTTAGGGTGTTTAAATTTCATTTTTTTCTGTAAGGAAATTTAATGTTTTAGCATTAAATGATCATTAGTATGTAAACAAGTGAACTAAGTACAAGAACCCAATGCCAAAAATATGTCAAGTATTTTGACCTACTTTTTAGCAGTTGTAGTGCATGTTGTGATTAGTGGGTGGAAGGGAGTTTTGTAATAACAAAAATAAACTTCTGCTAAACTTTATGTAGACTTATAATTAAATGCTGTAAATTATAAAGTCAGAAACTTAGAAGGTGTCATTGGAATCTGCTTAAGCTCTAAAAGTTAACAAATTCCATTCATGTTTTTGAAATAAGATTTACAATCTTACATATTTGTTATGGTTCCAGACATGAAGGGTCATGATTTCCTAAGAAGTTCCGCTGGCCAGTCTAGATTTAACTCCTGTGAATTTATAGATTAAACTATTACAATAATAGTAGTGAGGTGTGTGTGTGTGTGTGGGGCGGGGGCGGGGGGGGCGGACAAACAGGAGTTAGACCTGGTGACCTGATTCTGGTAATATAGAAAACAGAAAAGGCCATATTAAGGGAATCTATAAAACAGATGTGGGGAATCTATTTTAAATATTTTTCTATTTTGGAAGAACACTAATCTATTGAGAACTTTCTTTTTGAGGTACTATATACATTTTAAAATATGTTAAGTACATAAATAATATGAAACAATTGTTATCTAGAGATTATGCTGAGTCATAAAAACCATCATTGTAACTATCAAATTTCACTTTAATATCTATTAACTTTTAAATTCTATTCTCTTTTACTTCTATTTTAACAATGTCTTCTAAATTTCTGTGAGCAAAAAGAGTGAATAAATAAAAAGAAAAATTTCATATGAAAAAAAATAATAGTAGTGAGGTATGCCACTCCTAAATCATATTTTTTTGTAACTGTAATCTTAAGGATAGGAAACAATGTTTCCTATATTTGATAATACAAATATACTCATTTTTAAGTTTCTCCTCATCTTTCCATGTATTTATATTTTGAAAACAAAAATGGGTTCATCTGCTGTTTACTGTTTTCCACTTAATGTAGAAATGGGCATTCATGTCAATTAATAAAAATCATCTGATAAAGCCTACCAAGAACTTTGCTGCTGCAGTCACACAAAATTATGTTTATTGATTTGCAGAGGGATAAAGTTTAGGTAAAATTTTAAATGAAACCATGCTTTGAAAGACTGAAAGCAAAGCAGAGTTGTATGTAATATTAAGTTAATACCAACTCTGGTCTAAGTAGACTGGGAATCCCTTCTGAATGGTAAAGTTGAGATAAATGTAAAATGTGTCTGAAACCAAACCTGGGTTGGAAATAAGGACTGCTTTTTCTGGAAGTGGCCCATAAAAGGGAATACCACTCAGCTATAAAAAGGAACGAACTATAAATACATGGAGCAACATGAATGAATCTCAATTATGCTGAATGAAAGAATCTAGGATCTCTCCCTCACTGCCCCTCCCCCTCCAAAGAACATATTGTATGTTTCCGTTTATGTAAAATTAGAACATGCAAAATAATTATTGGTGACAGAAAGCCAATAAGTGGTTACTTGGGGATGCAAGGTGAGAACAAAAAGGTGGGAGGGGGAGGTACTAGGAGTACCAGGAAACTTGGGATGATTAATATGTTCATTATCTTGATTGTGGTGATGATTTTGAAGCCAGAATTAAAAAAAAACAGGTAGTCAGCCTAGATTGATAAATCTGGCCAGATTGTAGAAAACAGACTAAACCCGTTTGCGTCCAAAGGTTGGAAATTGTGCCCTTGGGAGATTGGCCTATACTGCCCATCCTAAAAGAATTGTTAATGAAGCAACTTCTGAGCAGACTGGAGTTGGAACTGCTAATTAATTCTCCCTAGGCCCCCTTTCCTACCCAGACCACTCCTCCCTGACCCCTCTACCTTTTGGCCATCCCATGCAGTATCTCCTGGGCCTAGTCATAGATATGCAGGAAGGAGAGAGATAAGGGGGGAAGAAAACAGGAGAACAAAGGAAACCTAGGACAGATAAAAAGGCAAAACACCCTCACTTCTGGGGATACCAGCTATGGTCCCCTTCTCCCTCCCAGGAGAAGTGACCCTTTTTAAAATAAACCCTTTTTAAATAAACCCTGCTTTATATGCTTGCCTCTCAGTGCTTCTCTAATGTTATACTTCAGTATGTGAGGAAGCAGGACTCATCACCAGTAACAGATGGTATCAATTTTACAGGTGTATATGTATTTTAAAACTTACCAAAGTACCAAATTGTGTACTTTAAGTATTATAGTTTATATTAACTATATTTCAAAAAAGCAGTTCAAAAAATTTTAAAAGTGATTCATATGAGTTGGTGCTGATGGGATTTCAAACAAGTTATTTTTGCTGATACATGATTTTAAAGAACATGATTTCTCAACACTATAACCTTGATGTTATAATTATAACCAAAGCAGGTTTTTTTTTAACAGTTTTCTCAATAAATAAAGTATCATTTTTAATGCAAAAATACTGCATTGTTTGTCTCTACTATAATTTAACATACTTTAATGTTGGATAGTTTTTTTTTTTTTTGTATTTTTTAACAGATTTTATTTTGCCATCAAATGTAATTCTGTCATGGATATTCTGTAACTAAATCTTTGACTATTGTTCATTATTTCTTCAAGATAGAATCCTGGCACTGCAATGCATAAGTCATAGCCTACAACATGTGTGTTAAATACGTTCAATTTTAAGGGACCTGAAAAAAGTGCTATTTAGTGCCACTCATTTTATTGACAAAGAGTTTTAGTGTCATACCCTAGAATCAGAATGATTGAGCTTAGACTAGAATCCAGACCTCCCATTGCTTTCCTCCTCTTTTTCAGTATGCAGTCAGGTCTTGGAGTTAGTGCATGTATTAGTTTGCTACAACGGTCATAACAAAATACCACAGAATAAGCCAGGCTTTATGGTACATATCTGTGATCCTAGCTACTTCAGGCAGCTGAGGCAGGAGGATCCCAAGTTTGAGGCCATCCTGGGCAATTTACGAAGACTGTATCAAAAGAAAGGGCTGGTGATACAGCTCAGTGGTAGAAGGCCCCTGGGTTCAGTTCTCAGTACTGAATAAAATAAAATAAATTTTAAGAAGGGGCCAGGGATGTTGCTCAGTGGCAGAGTCCTCTGGGTTCAGTCCCCAGTATTGCAAAGGAAAACAAAAACAACAAAATGCACCAGGTTGCTTAAACAGCTAAAGTTTATTTTCTCTCAGTTCTGGAAGTCCAATATTAAGCATGGATGGCAGCAAGTGAACTATCATTTATTTCTTCTCATAAGGACACCAATTTTATAAAATCAGAATCCCATTTAACCCTAATTACTTCTATAAAAGTTCTCTGTCCAAATAGAATCACATTGGGGTTAGGGATTCAGCATACAGATTTTGTGGGAAATAGAAGCATTCAGACCATAGCAGTGTGGGAAGCCAACTTCCACACAAGCAGCCTTTGTTTGAAGACAGATGAACGAAAATTGTTGATTTGCATCTTCAAAATGTAGATTCTTGCCATTATAAATTGCTGGGTCACAGAGTTAAATACCTAGGAGGATAATTTTACAGCAAAGCAGGGATCTTTAGTGAACCAAAAATTTGGAAGTAATGTGAGGAAAGGGTCATCCTCAGAATAAATAATAATTAGTAAACAAGGAAATTATCCTATAAGATAGTTTATGTATGTTTCTAAGTCTTCTAAGAGATCAGACAATATGGTTAGAACTTGTGTGGAACTAAAAACTGGAATTTATCAATCCTACCTCACTGGAACATCAGGGTGGGGGCCATGGGAAGCAAAAAGTCTATCAAAGTGATGACAAGGAAAAGTGTGATATATTCATTCAGGGAATGCCATACAGTAATAACAATACCACAGAATGCTTACATTTTGATACCGTGCTTTGAAAATTTATAAAACAAGTTTATACATATATAGTGAAAATGTAAAATTGTACGCAGAAATAACACCAAATAATTTCTAGTGATGAAGGGAGAAAAATGGGATTGGGGGATTGGTGTGGAGTATTCAGGGGGCTACAGATGTTTCTGCAATGTTTTATCCCTCCAGCTAGGTTATGGGTACAAAGGTGTTTATATGACTCTAACAAAAAAAATTATATATATATATATATATATATATAGAGAGAGAGAGAGAGAGAGAGAGAGAGAGAGAAATGCAGTAAGTTGTGTGGAATCTAGGCAAAGTAATGGTATCTCCCTTGACTATACAGTTACTGATTTACTATAATCTTATAGTGAGGAAAAGTGTATTGAGTAATCTTAACTCCATAATTAACCTCTTAAAATCATTTAACCCCGTTTGACCTGATTTCATTATCAACATATCACATTTAGTAATGTGAGTTCTCTCATATGGATTTTGCTACATAAGACAATGGGTCAAAGAGCTGACTTAGGAAATCAGATCCTCTTAGCAGTCACTAAGGCAATTCATGCATTCTCAACTGAGCTATAGAAAATTACTGGTTCTTGGAGGCAAAACAAAAATTGTATAAAGTTGACATACATATAATATCCAGTATACCTATGGCATTAAAAATTCAGGTGGGCATTGGGGGGGAAAAGTCTAAATAACCTCTTTCAGTGTTGAGAAACTCACAATCTGTTTGTGAGTCAACTTACACTCCTGTGTTATGGTTAACTGGGCTCCTGGATCATTTATTCAAGCATTCCTTCACTAGATTTTATTAAATCTCGACACTTTACTTTAAATACGGTATCTGTCCTCAAAAGTCTCAAAATCAAAATAAACACTTCCTAAAAGGAAAAAACAAACAAAAAAACCCCAAAACCTGAAAACTTAGTGAAGATATAGCCCTTGCTTAATACAAGGGAATATGGCTAAAGTCAATTGATTTGAGCTTGGAGATTGTAGTGATTGCTGTAATCCACCCCTCCATTCCCCTTCAGGAATGAAGACCTTATTCCTCAATGCCAGGTGTATTTCCAGAAGACATCTCTTAGCTGTCATTCATTTGGGGACATTCCTCATCCAAGGTCATGTTTCCTTCAGGGAGACCTGGCATTCACTGACTCTTCAGCCTCGGGAATGGGGTATAAGTTCTAGCCTTGCCCCAACTTGGAATAGTTCCAAGGATGTTCCCCACCCCAGAACAATTTATGGGTTTGGCTGAGGAAGG